ATTGCCATCATCACAATCTTCTTCTTTTGTAATAATTTAATCACCACAAATAGAGTGACAGTTGTTATTAACAAACTCATAACCATCTCCACATTTTAAAATGCACTACCCTCGATCACATATGTTGCAATCTTCAATGCATTAAAACTTACATTAATAACAACCATCATAAGGTTGAAGATTTCCATCATCACAATCCTCGTATTATTACAGAACTAATTTGTCTCCACAATAAGGATAACATGAATTTTCTAACAATTAATATCCTACTTCACACTCTAAGCAAATTGAAATATAGTTTATCTTACAATTAGCTATTGAAATAAATTTGCAATCAAGACAACCATCCCATACACCATTAACAGTCAGTTCACATAATTCAACTGAATATGGGGTCAAATTGCCATCTCCACACAGAGGATCACAACTAAAATTGGCATTAATTATAAATCCGTCTATACATTATAAAAAAATTCCAAATGAACAAATTTAACAATATTCAATACAAGAATATTTGCACTGATAACAAGAATGATTTGATACTAGAGTATCACATTATTCTTAACCTTGAATTATTCCATCTCCACAAATTGGATGACAATTTTCTAGAAATTCATCTTAAATCCAACCTTCTTGACAAAAAAGACATTTATCATTTATTTATTCTAAACAACCTTTATTTAAATTTTAACAAATTATTTCTGACTAAGTATAATACACTTCAAAATCTCTCATTACACTGTTTCCTCCACCATAAATAGTCAGTTATAATATTGGATCATAATATTTCTATTAAATATTTAAACATAATATTTTTTTGATCAAATACATAGTCTACAAATAGAAAATTTGCATTCAATTAAAAAACCATATTAATATATCTTAATGAGGAGTGAGTTAAGTTTAATACATAATTTACTAAAATTTCACAACTTCACAAAGCCCACATTAACTATTTATTATAAAAGAACCTGCCTAAAAATTCCATCCTTCAGAAGATGTGATCTACTTCTAATTAAATGAATATTAGTGCAGTTCCATTATAAGCAAATTGATGGATAATTCTCAATGCATGCATAACATTCATACTAACATTTAATGATACTAAATTTTAATGATATTAATCCTCCTTATTTATAAATAATCGTCATCCAAATATTTCTCTTATTATGTTAACGAACAATAGAAATAGTATGCAAATATTCAGGCTCTGAATCAAAACATATCAAACCTTATGATGAAATGATTTACTCAGAATCTGATTTTTGCTAGTCTATATATAAAGATGGTGGAATATTATTATCAATACTTTTGTAATTAAGAGCAATAAATACCTTAGAAATTGTGCATCTAATATATGAGAATGAGTCTCTAGGTCTAAAACTATTCTGCTAATTTAAGAATTGCCATTAGGAGACCCAAAATATTGAATCCCTCCACATGTATCAAAATTAGAACTACCTTCCTATCCTAGAATAAAAATATAAAATTACCACCCTTTGTGTTAGAATTAACATTAAACTCATAAATCACAGTTTGATGAGTTGTGTAGAGTAATATAATGAGTAATGCGACAAAGTAATCAATTAATGAATTTAAATTATATAACGAATTTAAACCATTATTTTAATTAAATAAACAATATTTTAATCAGTGCTATGAAGTAACTATTATTTATCAATTCCATAGTGTTTTTTATAAGATAATTCATCTTACAGGTTATTCAACTTCCGCTATTCCTTTAAGATTATTTTGATGAGGAATTTAATCTTAACATAATTACTCCAAAAAATTGTCTAAATTTCATTAAAATTTAGTGACTTATTCCCAATAATGAAAATTCAAAATTATTGATTTGAAAATGGATTTTTTCCTTTCATAAGAAAAGCTAGTTAATCTTTTCAAATTTAATACGATATTAATTTAAAATTAACAACAACTTATTGAGTTTCACCTGGTTAAATGGAACCCATTATTTATAAACCATAATATTGAGTGAACTAACTTTTGATAATTTTTATTATGCGTTGTTATCATATAGTTTTTGTAATTTAGGTCATAATAAATATATTTTCTTTCTTAAAATTTACCTCCAATGAATAATTCTAATTTTGTTAAATTTTGAGAATATAGTCTCTAAATCGATGTGATTTCTTAATGAACATTAGTTACAGTTAAATAACTTTGCCACTCATCAATATTATTTGCTGCCTTTTTTGAAATAATCTATCATCTTTTTTTTGGCAGATAAATACACCATCAGTGTACAGTCTAAATACTTGTTTAGTTTATTGAATTATTTTCACTAAACACAGATGGACCACCTTGAGCATAGCTTGATATTTTGGATTCTCTTGATGTTTTGGACTATTATATATACTATATTTGATATAAGCACTTATTGCTAAGGTTTCAAATGGATTTTATTATAAAAGCTCTTATATTGATTTAAGGGGTGCTGTCAAACTCCGTATTGGTTCTCTTCATACAAATATGATAGTTCTGAAAAACAATATTTGGTATTAACTATAAGAAATTTTTAAATGGAGGCACTTAAATATTTAATAGCATTATGAAATTTTGGATTAAAATCTGAAAAATGGGATTTTTTTTTATTGCCAATCATTAATCGTTTATTTTCACATAAGTATTGATGCTTGCCCTTTCCTACAATAATGAATCTCATACTGGCACATTTTTCTCAAATAAAATAGGCAACTTTGTAATTGATGCGGGTATTGAGCTAACATAGTGACCATATATTATTGTAACTGATGGAATATGAACATCTCTGACTTGAATAGTAGTTCAGTTTTCATAGTTGCAAGGCTTGCTTAATATAAGTTCTAGCATGTTATAGCACTCTCCATATCAATTTTTTCATTTAACTAGAGATGCAACTACCTTTAGAGAATTCAACTTCCAGTAACTAATAAGTAGTTTATCAAAATTTGATTCGCAATGTTGAATTGGATGATGCTCTAAGCTTTGAACTTATAGATCTTGAGCCCTAATGCATCTTTAATATGAAGAAAATTATCTCTTGTGCTTCCTGTCTTGCAATAAAAGCAGAAAATGCATGAAGTGGTGGTTGCCCGTATGTAGCTTTTATCAAATGATGCAGTTGTTGATTACCTTGCATACATTGACTTTGGTGAGGCTACTATTATCCAATATATTGTATCTTTATAACGAAATTTGCTGGAAATTTATAACATCCAAAACATTGAGATTAATGAGATCCAAAATGTCTCCCCAATTCACTTTCTATTCAATTCAGTAATTAGCAAACTAGGTTACATCTATTTAATGACAACTTAGCCCTTAACTATAACCTGTTATTCACTTTGTAATAGTAAAAAGATTTCTGCCTTTAATTTCATAAATGGTTATGATACTGTTTTTAATTTACTACCTTTCACATGTTGTGACTGTATTGATCATTGTAAACAGCAAAGCTCATAAGTAGATGATGATGATACTTCATTTGCGCTTAATCATCCTTTTTTGGAAATATTAACAGTGTTATTTTTCTTGCTGTATAATTTGTTAGTTTTATTTCTTTTTGTACAAAATTTAGTATATATAATGATATGATTAAGCACTACATCGACCAAGCCTCATTTACATTTTAGATATGAAATCTTCAACTACAATTTCGTTGTTAACTGCAGAATATGGACAAATATATTTTGCTCCATAAATGTTGTTATCTGGGTTAAAATGTGGTAAATATCAAAGTTACTTATATATTAGCTCTGTGACTAACAAACATAATTTAGTTGATTTCTTGTTTTCCTCTAATATAGAACAGCTTCTGTAGCTTGTTTTTTAGATTTTTTGCTACTTTGTATTCCAACAAGAAGAATTTTAGGTATATTACGTACAAAGATCTATGTAATCCAAAATGTTCAATTATAATACACTTTGCATTAGAAGAAATGTTGAAAGAAATGCAATAACGGATATTAATTTGAAATCAAATTAGATTACGGTAAGTTCCAATGAAGTTGCGCTGAAAGTCTTAGAAAATTTGGTGATTTATCGTTTATAATTATCGCAATATACAACGAGGAAGCCTTATAGTATACTACTAATTTAACAATAATAAGTATTGGCTAGCTCATAATTATACATGTTTATTTAGCTCATATTTTCACTCAATAATCTATACTTTTGATATATATTATCATCAAAGCAATGAAAACTTTATATTAAGTTCCATCTTGGACTTAATTCAATACTTTTGTTTAATGATAATTAAAACATATGCTTACCCCACTCAGTTTAGCTTCTTTTATTGATAACAACTTTTTAATGACTATTACTGTGCGCAACTACGCTAGTTTCTATATATCCTAATTTATAGTTATTAATTTTTTCTAGTCATGTGAATAACATAAAAGCAGCTAAGACGGAATGTATATAAGATCACAATCTAAATTTCCATATTTATAATCAACTTTTCAATAGGTTTAAAATATATATATTCAACTAAACATAATAAATGTGCTTTTTGTGTTAAATAGAACATGTTCAGCTTATACTTTACCATTGTCTTGCAAACATATAGTGAAGTCGTGCTGGAAATAATATCATCAAATTTGAAGACTCATATAAACTCCCTCTTGCAACTTTGGCTTTTAAGATTCAAGTCATGATACTCAATTCAAACTGGTGGCATTTTAATAATGAAATTACAAACCCTCAATCTTCATTTCTATCTCAATCAGTCCTTACTATTGTTACTAATTTAAAACCTGACTGTTGTAATTTTCTATTATTAACTATTTCCTACTTGTAAAATTTTCTTATTAGTTTTTAGCTAAATAAGGTGCGATTATTATTGTAAATGAATATGTCTATTGTTAAATATTAATATGTTTAAAATTTTATAGTTTATATCACTCAATAAAAAGGCTTTGATTTAAAATAATTTTGAAGAAATTTACTTGTAAAAACAAAACTGCTTTTTTCATAATATAATTCGACAAGAAAACTAAACCTATTGAAAATAATATCCTAACATTTTGTGGGATTAACCTAAATTGTTTCGATTTTATTTGGAAAACTCAGTTATAGTTTATAAAAATGTATGAGATTTGTCAATTTAAGACTTAATTTTCCAATTATTTTATTTAGAATATTATTTGAATTTTAGGTTTATTTTTAGGTGATTAGTTTAGAACTTTATTTTTAAATATTGTTTTAATGTTTAAAAACTAGTAGGTATGAATGAATTAATAAGAATCTTTCCAAAATAATTACACATAAACATTCAGAAATCATTTTATATTTGATAATTCATTATTCATAATTAATAATAGGCTTCAATTTTTATTATTTCAAGTTACTTATGAGAAGTATTTCCATCTCTATTATATAATTCTATTTAATGCACATATTAATCTATAAATTTTATAGTAATCACACTTTGTGTTAATGATTTATATATTAGTGTTTTTATACCGTCATAAATGATATAAACCTCCATATTGTAGTATCTTGCTAATTCTAGATCCCAAATTCTAATTCTCATAGTGTTTAATTCGTAAGGTTGAAAAAGATCAATAATAATGGACTTATATTAATTGCATGCATAATATCCTTTTCTCCAATCAGTGTTATAGATAGAATCTCTCAAACATAACGAAGTTTAACCTCCTTCTGGATAATAGTTTGTTTATCTTGAACTTATTACAGCTCCATTATTCAGGTGCAGCAAATTTTAATAGTTTCCTCTAATTATTGATTTTTTAATTTAGTCATCAATTTTGCAACTTTCTCTAATGTATATTAATGATAGTAATATTATGATTAGCAGGTTCATTTATTTAAATACTACATTTTTTAATTTAATTTTTCATGATTTAAATCGGTGTATTTTTTTATAATTCTTTCATAATTCGTTATAATTAAAAAGGCTATAATTATTACTTCATAGATCAGATATATATAGCCGTCTAGTATTTTCAATCCACAAGGTTTTCCAATGTGGATTACCTACATTAACATTCATAAATAAAACTTTTTATTTCTTTTATTATTAACCTATTTTTATATCCAATTAATTGTGATTGTCATCAATTTTAAATTGATATTTTTTAGTGCTACACCATTTTACCCATTATTAAATTCCTCATCTAATAATGGCGAATTTAATCGTTATTTTCCTTCTTGCTTACATTATGGAATTTATTCCAGATATACTCCTCTTAGCGATATTCTGTAATTTACCAAAGATTGGAACCTTAACAGTAATTGTTTTCATTTTCAAAGTATCAAAGATAATGTTCATAATAATATCGATTCCTTATCTTATGATTGCATTTATTATGAGAAAAAATTAATTGAAAAGTAATATACAATTACTAAAGATCTGGTATGGGTTTACAAACAATCACAAAATTAAATATATCTGAAAATGAATCATATTGGTACATTTTGGATAGAATATATTTCAAGAATGTATCGATTATTCAGTATTTTAAAAAATTTATTTTAAGAAAATAAGTAGAATTTAAGGTTCCTGTTTATATTTTGAATTTGAAGCCTAATGTAGAAACTATTTGTTCTAATTTGCTAAGCTTGCATGATTAGAAATATACTAATACAATGTATAAAATCCATATTGTAATATACTAATATATACCTATTAATTTAGACTCAAAACAAAATTGAGCAAAATGCAACAATCTAAAGTGAGATATGATGTTAAATCTTTCGTTCTTGTTTAGAAGAAGGGGAAATGAGCAAAAGAATTGAAAAATTAAATATATAAATTAAAAGAATGTTATTAATGGTCAGTTAAAATGAACTGATGCCCTTCAAAATTTGAACAATAGAATTATGGATAGAATAGCTTTACACAAGAATTTTAACATTTGGAAAGCAGGAATAGGGATTGGTTTTTATGAAAAATCTATATGACCTACCTATACTGCGAGAGTATTATGGTCGAAACCGAAGCAAACTTCTAAAAAAAGATAACAGACTTTGGGATAGGTGATGTAATTGAAGAATGCGGAGAAATTTAGTAATCTTTATAAAATTTCTTTTAAATCGTGTTATAATTGGTGCCAACATATTCCTCATCATCTTATCAATCTACTTGTTTCTCTAATTTTTTACAAAAGATTGTCATATCTTTCATAAGCTGTGTTTCTTGATCTTACTTTGCGCATAACTTTTCAACCTTATATATTAATTCGACTATGCATCATAAAAGGAGGGCGATTTGTTATGTCTATGAGAATAAACTTGAACACCTTCGATAAGTTTAGGGTACTTCTTCATGTCTTCACGCTTAAATTATGAATATTTGGTTGCTACCTCTTTGGATATTGATACCTCTTTGAATAATCATAATAATTTAATTTTTTATACCTCTCTGAATTGCTTATGTACTTCTTATTTTCGTATCCTACATGTAATGATGATGTTCGTAGCTTAGCATCTATCATTTTTTTTGTATTAAAGCCAAATTTATTGAGGAATGATAATTGCCCTCTTATTATTATTTATTTGAGAAATCTATAAAATTATAAAAATTTATCCTTGCATAAAACGCAGTTTTAATTAAATAGATAGCAGCAACAGCAATGAATTATAGCAAAAAAGACATCAACTGGAAATGGTCTGATTATTTATTTTACATTATTGAAAGGGGTACAAATAAAAACAATGCTAAACTCAATAGCGTCAGTTACTGTAGAATTTCGTCGTTTTACATAATTTTATATCTTGTTTAACGTACTAGTAATTGTTCTACCTTCAAATATTGATATTCTATCTATTCTAGGAGAACTTAGTATCAAAATGCTGCCCACAGAACACAACTTCAGATGGATGCCTCCTCTCACCCTTACTGCTAGAAACTCACTTTGACAGAATTGAAATTGAATTCAACCATTAGTTAGCCAATAAGCTTATGATCCAGTAATAAGAAGCAGATTATGTCTTATAAGAAGGTTTTTAACCAGCTAAAATATTAGACAACTCTGAGTATGATATGGATTATAGTTTTTGAGTTAGCAAATTGCGCTTTGAGAATTACTTTTGTTTAAAAAGGAGACAGTAAGCTTCTGTTACTTAATTTGATATTGTCTAATCCACAATTTGAGTAATTATGCAGTTGAGAAGGAAATTTTAGAGGTTAACGACCATCTTTAATTCTCTATGTTATAACGGTAACATGATAGAATATCAGAAGTTCTATTTACGAGTATCAGATTGGTGTTGTAATTATGGTAAATTGCGCTAAACCACAAATATTGTCATGTATGAGAACTCCTAAAATATTGATGTTATTGACTTTTAACTTTTTCAGGTTCCTACCCAGACAACACGTAGTAATCATTATTAATGTTGATATTGTCTTCATACCATTTTAAATCAAGCTTCTTTTGTTCTGTATTCCATCGCTAAGGTTAAATTTAATGAGCATTTTTTGAAGCTGTCGGTATTTTCTAAGTACAGGTAGAGATTATGAAATATAGACCTAATACTGCAAGTTGGGTTAACGATATCACTATAGTACACTTATCTGTCTTCCCTCTCTTGCTGGTGCACATAAATTTTCACTTGTGAGTTATCGTCACCATTATAGTACTTATGGCTTTCCTTTTGAGATAGTTCCCAATTATAGTGACTTAACTTTTTCGCTTTCTTCTTTTATGACAATCTATTTATAATCTTCACATACTACAAAATGTTCTTGTGCTTAATTATTGTGAAGCTTAAACTTTNAATCATAATAATTTAATTTTTTATACCTCTCTGAATTGCTTATGTACTTCTTATTTTCGTATCCTACATGTAATGATGATGTTCGTAGCTTAGCATCTATCATTTTTTTTGTATTAAAGCCAAATTTATTGAGGAATGATAATTGCCCTCTTATTATTATTTATTTGAGAAATCTATAAAATTATAAAAATTTATCCTTGCATAAAACGCAGTTTTAATTAAATAGATAGCAGCAACAGCAATGAATTATAGCAAAAAAGACATCAACTGGAAATGGTCTGATTATTTATTTTACATTATTGAAAGGGGTACAAATAAAAACAATGCTAAACTCAATAGCGTCAGTTACTGTAGAATTTCGTCGTTTTACATAATTTTATATCTTGTTTAACGTACTAGTAATTGTTCTACCTTCAAATATTGATATTCTATCTATTCTAGGAGAACTTAGTATCAAAATGCTGCCCACAGAACACAACTTCAGATGGATGCCTCCTCTCACCCTTACTGCTAGAAACTCACTTTGACAGAATTGAAATTGAATTCAACCATTAGTTAGCCAATAAGCTTATGATCCAGTAATAAGAAGCAGATTATGTCTTATAAGAAGGTTTTTAACCAGCTAAAATATTAGACAACTCTGAGTATGATATGGATTATAGTTTTTGAGTTAGCAAATTGCGCTTTGAGAATTACTTTTGTTTAAAAAGGAGACAGTAAGCTTCTGTTACTTAATTTGATATTGTCTAATCCACAATTTGAGTAATTATGCAGTTGAGAAGGAAATTTTAGAGGTTAACGACCATCTTTAATTCTCTATGTTATAACGGTAACATGATAGAATATCAGAAGTTCTATTTACGAGTATCAGATTGGTGTTGTAATTATGGTAAATTGCGCTAAACCACAAATATTGTCATGTATGAGAACTCCTAAAATATTGATGTTATTGACTTTTAACTTTTTCAGGTTCCTACCCAGACAACACGTAGTAATCATTATTAATGTTGATATTGTCTTCATACCATTTTAAATCAAGCTTCTTTTGTTCTGTATTCCATCGCTAAGGTTAAATTTAATGAGCATTTTTTGAAGCTGTCGGTATTTTCTAAGTACAGGTAGAGATTATGAAATATAGACCTAATACTGCAAGTTGGGTTAACGATATCACTATAGTACACTTATCTGTCTTCCCTCTCTTGCTGGTGCACATAAATTTTCACTTGTGAGTTATCGTCACCATTATAGTACTTATGGCTTTCCTTTTGAGATAGTTCCCAATTATAGTGACTTAACTTTTTCGCTTTCTTCTTTTATGACAATCTATTTATAATCTTCACATACTACAAAATGTTCTTGTGCTTAATTATTGTGAAGCTTAAACTTTTTTAGCCACATTTGGAAAATTAATTTTGGATTGTAGAACAATGTCAACCGCACCATGCTTATGTTGATGTTTTAATTGAGGGGGCTATTTTCATCTAATGATTCCTCATGTTTACTGAGTCTATTTCTCTATTAAAACAATAGATGATTATAGTCTAATTTAACCTTGCTTGAAAAAATGCTCATATCATTCAATGGTAATTGTTTATATGAAAATATTCATGCTCCCAAATTCACCTATTCTTTATGAAATTGTGGAATGCATGAAAATGCCAAATTTTCTAGTGTTAGCTATCTATTGGATTAAACAGAAAAAGTATATGCCTCATGCATAATAAATAACAATCCTGATTAATGCATCAATAATAGTTTAAACTATGTGAATTAGCTGGTACTTACCTGTATATGTAAATAATAGACAAAAATTTGCTTCTAATCTGTTGAATAATTACCCTTGATCTTTTGTAACTTATGTTACAATTGCTATAATTTAAAATGATCTGCAAATTTTTCATTTTAACCTGATAATTTAGTGCACCAATTATGCTATCCATGCACTTCTGTTCCTATTGGAATAGAATTAGAATTTATTACTTGCTATTTGATCAAGTACTCTTTATTAATACACTTAAACCCATTTATGTAGAATCCACAAGTCTTTGTTAGTTAATAGAAGTTTATCTATCTGCTACACATATTTTTTTTCAACTAACAAAAGTTTAAGATTTTGCCAATAATTTGTGTTTTATCCCGAACCACTAAGTATTAAGGAAGTCTTCAATTACACAAGTTGTATATATTTATCATCCTAACACTATCATAAACTCTACAAAGAAAACAAGAAATTCTATTAATTTAGTAGGTGGTTTCGCTTAAACTAATCATAAAATCAAAAACCTTTAAGAAAATTTGCAGTGATCAAGCAATTATCTGTAAGAGAAGCGTAATATTAAGAAACCCACAATTCACTTAAAGTCATTTAATGTAAAGTGAATTACAAACAATTTTGCGATAAATAGGCAATCATTACTCAGTAGCAGCAGCTGTTTGAATGGCTTTTCATCTTCAACAAATCTGATATTATAGGAAGAATTATCAGATCGTAATTGTCCATACAGATGGATAATACCTATGCATGTGTTAAAACACATCAGAACACTACTAAATGCAGCATTTCATTACTAAGCTTTATTCCACCTTAAGAAGCAGTAACATTTATGAACTTGTTGAGCAAACTGTTTATCAGGTTCAGGTACTTCTGTAAGTGGTACTAGATAAGAGCACTTCATAATTCTTTGTCTACCTCATAAAATGTTGAAATAATATTTTAACTTGTAGCACTTGATCCTTTGTATCACATTTTTATTCGAAGTGATACTTTTTGAATCTTGATCAAATCTTTCATTTTACTATTTAAGTAAATTCCAACCTTTTGGTCTCAGCATCGCCTTCCATCTATAATCTCGTGAGATACGATAAATTAATCTACTGATTGCATTGTTTACTAATTGTAAATCAAAGTCATTCTATTTTAATAATTTTCAACTTCAGAGGTAAAAAAATAAAAATTCTAGCATATATATATGTCATATAACTTTCGTGCAAATACTAAATTGCAACATTATCCCTTACTTTTGTTTCCTTATTGCAATTAACACTTGCATACAACACATACACCAGCCTATTCTTCATGGAATCTCTAATTCATAATGTACTGCTTGCTATTTACAATAGTACCCTTTTAGTGCAGTCACCTGAATGAAAAAGAGCTAAAACTTTAATTAATTAACAAAGCTAAGTAACTTTAATATTTGAATATTGAATGGTCTAAAAGTTGTTTTCTCGTTTCTGCTTATAATCATGCTATTTGGCTCACTTCACGGAATTCAATAATTTTTTCTGAAATGCAGACTATTGTTAGAGACAATGTGATTTTGCAACTTACTATTAATCTTAAGCATTGCTGACTCAAAATCACAGACAAGTTAGTTTTCATCACATATTTAGGATCATTTAAATTAAAAAAAATAATTCAACATTTGATATTAATAATCAAATTTTATGATGAAACCAATAATTAAAAAATAATCAAAATTAGAATTGTTAAGGTTTTTTATTGAATAAACGAAATTTACCTCTCAAAAAATTTAAAGATGAACAAATAAAATAAAATGTCCTAATGATCTTAAAAATTAAAACTTCAAATAAAATGAAATCTAACTGAAAATTATAATCCCTACCTTAATTAAAAAATATTTTATTCATTTATTTTATGATGAATCATTTGTCACTGTGAACAGGCCTAAGGAGATCAAATTTCACGCTTAATGGAAATGATTATTTGATCAGGAGATTAAAATGGAATGGTATAGGTTGGGAAAAATGAAAGAATCTATTGATGATCAAGCTATTCCCTTGTAGGTTAATAAGTTTTGAAGGTATCCACTAGTTACCTTAATCCTTCTCCTGTTCCTTCTCTAGTGAAAACTCTTAAAATATCAATGGCCCATTTCATACAATCCTAATATTATTACTAATCCTTTAGGTGTTTTCCTTTTGTCAAGGAGTACCATAACTACAAAGGAATTCTAATTTTTAATTGGTCCTCTTCAACCTTAATGAAGCTAAGTTCTTTAAGAACTTTAGTTGACTTATATGATAAGATTCTCTCTTTTATTTCACATTCCTCGAGAGTGGAGGTCTTTGTTTCGGTCTCGTAGTCCCATGTCAATCTCAGATAAAGTTTTATGAAGTCCTCATTTCCTACATAGTATTCTAACCTTCTCTCAATATCATTGAAGATAAAAAGGTCTTCATTTTGCTCTCCTTTTATTAATTCCTTTTCTATTTCTCCAATATCCCTGAGCTTGGTTTCTTCTTCATAATTCCTCTTGACGACTATTAACCCCAACTTATTTCTCATCAATATATTGAACATTATTAGTTTCCTACTATATCCGAATCAATAATTATAATTTCTTATATATTTTTTTATCCTTAATTTCAATTTTGATTAAATATGCTAATTATTACTAATATATCTCCTTATGAATCCATCTTTTAATCTACTTCATTCCTGAAATGTTTTTCTTAACTCTTTCTGTTACAACCATGATTTTTCTTCTTTCTCAAATGTTAGGAATGTACTTTGACCAATCTTGACTAACCGTTGTCACCTCTTTTTATCCCCTGCTTAAACGTATTCCAATAGTTTTCCTAAAGATTGTGTAACATTACATGATACAAGGTTTCCATATAATCGATTAATAAATGATAGGTTCTCTAGGTGATCCCCTGGGTTAATGATTAAAGGCTCCTTATCAGGGAAAATGTTCCATCTATATATATTATCACCACCTTGCTCTTCATCAGTTCCTTGATTACTTTTATATCCCCTGCCTGTGAATTCTCTTTATAATTTCAGATTTTATTTTAATTTCTTATCTCAAAATCTATTAAACTTCCTTTCTCCTCTATTCTTTGTTATCCAGATTTTGGGATTAATTATAAAATGCTGCCACAATTATAAGTTGTACAATTATAAGTTGTTTTCCCCTTTGGAGTTCTTCCATACTTTTCTCTCCTTAGACAGCTATCCCCTCTAAAGGTATTAAATTGGATATAATTATCCAAGTATGGTTTTTGCCTGAGATAAGTATTACTTTAATTGAATTTTGAGATTGACTTCTTATTTAATAATAAAGTGGTATATTGGTTTTTTTTTTAAACTTATATATCATGACTAGAAGATGTAATCCAAATGGAAGACAACAACAGTCGAGGGAGGATTGAGAGAGTCCAGAGTCTCTATTGAGCAGTATATGAGGCGCATAGATGAGAAAAAGTCGACCTATAACTGCTTAGTACGCTATCCTAGAATAATAAGAAGTCAAGAGCACTGGTAAAAATTAATCCAAAGATTGATGTAGGTAAATGGGGCAAAAGGAAATATTTTATGAATCTTCTTGAAAATAACGATTTGATCGGTACTCTGAAGAGATCAAAATGCTAATGATTTCTTTAATTTTTTAAAGTAAAAGAGGAAGGAACTAAAGGATGGGTCTTCCTAAACGTAAATTTAAAAATTATCATTTATTATGTCATTGGCTTCCATTATAACTTAATATTTAAAAAAAAATACTATCTTTCTAATATTAAGTGTTACTCTAGTAGATGGATGTCATTAAAATATTATTGATTTTTTAACATCACATCAATAATTGTTGAATGAACTTTTCAAACATTCTTTAAGATTTGAAACTTCCAATTTTCTAACTGACACTCCTCCTTGAATAAAATATTGGCTATGGATTTCTAACATGGCCTTTAAATTCTCAATCATTTATGATCCAAAGTTTTAAGCTTAAACAATAGGTATCCCTGCTATTTTAGTTATTAAACTGTCGTTTTAGGAAAGAATAAATTATTTCTTTATATTTTGTAGTATTTCTTTCAAATAAATTTCTAAGTTTATCTAGTTTCTTTTAGATCTTAAATCTGATTATTGATTACCATAAAATAAAGGGATAAATCAAGTGATAAGTTTAATTATTTGCTAAAGATAGTTGCTTATCTTAGAGAAGGTGCCTCAATAATTTCAATTTGTTTAAACCTAGAAATCATTATGACTTATTGAGTTTTGTTCTAATTTTAGGAGTTTTATGAATGCAGAATAAGTAAAATAAAATATAATTATTTTAAATGATCAATTAATTTTATTAGCTTGATTTAATTAGATATTCAAAGGTATTTAAGAGATATGGGTCTTCATTAATTAAAATATATGTATTTTTAAGAAGAAAAATTAAGTGAAATCGTCTAAACATTGTAATATTCAAAGCTATGTTACTGTTTGAAATTAATTCCTGCTTATTTCTGCTTCAGATGATTTATCATATTAAATAACATTAAAGCTTATTAATAAAGCTAAAATTTGTTGTATAAGGCTTTCTTATTTATGAGATTCGAAATCACAGATTGATTAAGTTGAACAAGCTATTAATTTATTTAATGAAAACTAAAAGCTTTAATGCTCATAGGATAATATGTATAAATTTTACTGATCTAATTGTACTTTTCCCCATCTAAAAACAAGGGTTTGAATATTCTAGATAACCATTGCATAAACTACGATTTTTCTTTATGTATATCTTAATCAAAGCCTACATTAATAAATCCTAAACATTATAAAGTACCTTTCATTCTTCTTTCATCATAGAATAAGTTAGCCAAATTTCATTGAATCTTTCTCCTTCAATTTTTCAACCATTTAAGATATAAATTTATTCCTTTTCTAAATATACTATAATAATATAAAATTTTAGATAGTGATGTAAATCCTTAAAAATGTATGCAGATATATCATCAGAGAAACATGAAGTTGTTGAGGATTTTTGATTTTTCCACTTTTTATCTCATTAAAGTAATCTTTAAAATCCTAATCTATAATAAAAGGAGGCTGATACATTCTTCTCTACTGAGAATTTTTATTTAATATATTTGAATAAGAGTTGGTATCAATAAATCAATCTATTTTTTTCCAATAATTTTCTCAGTATAGCTGGCTAATCCTGCTAGACAAAAATTTGTTTCTTCCTTCAATTACTTCTCCTTAAATAATACAAATAGCAATTATTATGGGTTGTAGGTAAACATGATGAGATAATCATTCATCAGAAAATGGTTGTATGTGTACTTTGATGCATTAAATCAAAGTTATAGGTTTAGCATCAAGTAAATTCTAGAATTATAAATATAATGATCATGATCTACCGAAGGAACTCAGGGTTTAGTAGAATT